GCCTGCCTGCCTGCCTGTCAGGAACTGCGCCGGCCACTGCGATGCCGCTCTCTCTCCGCAGTCCGGGGCGCGATGTGATTGCCTGGCCACCGGCTACGGCCGGGCCACAAGGCAGTGCGATTCCCCCGGGATTCTCTCCAGGGAGACCCAGGCCCTCTCCCTAGCCAACTCTTTCAGAATTGCCCGGGCTTGGGTAGGCTGCGTCTTTGTTATGGCCAGACTCTCCGAGATCTGCCTGCTGGCCCTCCCAGACCACGTCCTGGAGACGGCCTCGGTCGATCCCAGCAAAGGGCACCGCTCCTTCGCCCTGGAGACGGTGCCCGGGGGTCTTTCTGCTGCCAAACAACAAGGACAAGCCAGCCTAGCGAGGGCAGTCCCTTCTCTCTGCTCACATCCCCCAGCCACTCTGTGCTTCTGCCGCCCCGCACACTCACCCTGGGGGGCCCGGCTCAGCCGCACCCAGCTGCAGGAGGCAGAGGGTTCCAGTGCCCCAGCGCCAAGCGCATAGGAGAGCCCAGGTTCCGACGGCGTCAGGGTCGCGCTTTCCAGCAGGCGAATCCTACCCGTGCCCGAATGGAATCACGAAGCCGCTCAGAGGGCATCGCCAGCTTTCCAGGAGGCTTCGCTTCTGTCACACAGTGTCAGGACGAAGCCCGGCCAAGCCAACTGGCCCAGAAAAGTATTTGGCGGCTCTCCGGGGGCCTTCCCGCCCGCCCTAACCGGCGCCGGGCTCCGCACTCTGGCCTGGTCGCAGATGCCCAGGAGCCCCGAGCTCCTGGTGGGACAGCAGCAGGAGCTGCGTGGAGCCGCCAGCTCCGCTCCGTGATGCTCTCCCGGGAGAAGTTGGCAGGGCTGGGGGCTCAGGACAGTGGGCTCCGAGCACAGCCCACACTTCTGCTCCACGCGGGCAAACCGGGACGGGGCTGGAGAATTCTTACCCTGGTGCCCACTGCCCACCCGCGGGGGGGCGCAGCAGGAGTTGCGTGGAGCCGCCAGCCCCGCTCCGTGATGCTCTCCCGGGAGAAGTTGGCAGGGCTGGGGGCTCAGGGCAGTGGGCTCCGAGCACAGCCCACACTTCTGCTCCACGCGGGCAAACCGGGGCGGGGCTGGAGAATTCTTACCCTGGTGCCCACTGCCCACCCGCGGGGCTCCGAGCCGGCACCCAAAGCAGCCGAAGCAGCGTCGCCCGTGGCACCT